CACCGCATCTTGCCGGGGGTGCCTGCGCCCCCCTCCCGCCCCGCCACATCTTGCAGAGGGTGTCTGGTACCCCCCCCCCAGCCCCTTGAGGAGACCTTTCCTTGGGTGTGTCCTCGGCAGCCCCTCTCTCTCCGGGGGTGCCCGGTTTTGGGGGGAATCCCCTGTAGCCCCCCTGCCCTGGAAGTATCCTCCCTGGGGGTGCACAATCACACTTCTAGGGGTGCCCGCTTTGGGGGGGGGTCCTTGCAAACCCCTCTCTGGGTGCTGAGCCCCCCACGGGCTCCCCTCCCAGCAGTGGGAGCTGTCCTGGGAAGTGGGGAGGGGGCACAGCCCCCCCCTGGGCAATGGGGCTGGGTATCGTGCAAGCCCCGGGGGGGCCCCGACTGGGACCCCTGAGTGGGGTGGGGACACACAGACCCTCCCCCGGGCTGCTGGAGTGGGGATGGAGCTGGGGTGGGGGGTGATGGAGAGACACTGTGGGGTCCCAGCCTCCCCTTGACTGGGGGCGGGGGGGTTCCAGCCCTACTGGGCTGCTTCTCCTGGGGAGTCCTGCTTGCCCTGCGATCCCGAAGGACGGGGGGGACTGGGGGTGCTGAGCCCCCTCCCTGTGTTGGGTAGGACAGCAGCTGCTCCAGGCACTGAAGCCCTCCGCCCACCCAGGAAGCCCCCTGTGCCCATCCTCTCCCCACACAGGGGTCACAACACAGCCTGGGGTGAGGGCAGATGCTGGGCGCCCACCCTGACCCCCTCCCGGCCCCTCCGCGCTCCTCGGGGTGACCCTGGCGGGATGGGGTGCGCTCGCTGGGTCCCCCAAGGGTGTGGGCACCCTGAAGTGGGGAGGGGGCCCTGAGGAGAGAGTCCTGTGGCCCCCAGCCCTCCCCGGGGCTCCAGAGCCATCAAATATTAACGGAGGCAGCGGAGGAGCTGAAAATATCCCTCCCTCCAAGGGAGCTGACCCAGATCCGGCCAGCCCCAAAGCGGGGCTGGACCCAGAGCCGCAGCCAGCACCCTGCCAGGGCCCAATCCGGCCCCTTCCCCTCCTCCAGGCTGCTCTGCCCTCCTGCTGCCAGCTATGTATCCCCTATATATTATGCAAATGAGCTATAAGGGCTTATTACGCAAACGCGAGGGGGCTGGCGCTGCCCAACGCTGGGTGGTCCCCGGGGCTGGCCCCGAGGGCTCAGAGAGGACAGAGGGGATGGAGGGGGCTGCATCGGCGTCCACCCGGGTGTCGGGGGGCTGCCAGCGAGCGCTGCCCCATCGCTCTCCCCTCCTGTAGTGCAGAGGGACCCCCCCCACCCCGAGCCAGGCCAGGCACCTGCCCCGCTCCAGCGCTCGCCCCCTCCCCGGGACGGCCGGCGTGTCTCAGCAGCATGGGGAAGCAGAACAGCAAACTGCGGCCCGAGATGCTCCAGGACCTGCGGGAAAACACCGAGTTCTCCGACCTGGAGCTGCAGGGCTGGTACAAGGGCTTCCTGAAGGACTGTCCCTCCGGCATCCTCAACGTGGAGGAGTTCAAGAAGATCTACGCCAACTTCTTCCCCTACGGCGATGCCTCCAAGTTCGCCGAGCACGTCTTCCGCACCTTCGACACCAACGGCGATGGCACCATCGACTTCCGAGAGTTCATCATCGCCCTGAGCGTCACCTCCCGCGGGAAGCTGGAGCAGAAGCTCATGTGGGCCTTCAGCATGTACGACCTGGATGGCAACGGCTACATCAGCCGGGAGGAAATGCTGGAGATCGTGCAGGTACCGGGTTCCCTTGCGCTGCTGCAACTCCCAGTCTGCGGTCCTGTCACCCTGGTGTGACGGTGGCCGTCACCTCCCGGGTTGGGAACACGCACCCCGTGTTACCCCCGGCACAGGGCTTGGTAGTTCCTGGGACAGAGCCTGTTGCTGTCTGCGGAGCCGCTCGCTGACTCTGTGGCTGCGGGGATCAGCCTACCCCGGGCATCCCCTGCTCCTTCCCTGTCCTGGGGACATCCCCTTGTCCCGGGGCGCATCCCGCTGGCCCCACTCACCCTGCTCCTGGGGAGGGCTGGGGACACACAGCCGTCCCCGAGCACCCCGGGGCAGAGGGACAGTGGTTGGCAGAGCGATGGGAGATGTTCTCCTTGCCCAGACCCCAGCCGGGTGGCATCGGCAGCAGCAGGGTGACTCGTGAAGCCATTGCGGTGACATCTCGGTGGCATCTCCTCCCATCTGCCTCCTGCTGCCGCGTTCTTCCTGCAGGGCTGCCGCTTGCATCCGCCCTGGCTGTGCTGGGAGCTGAAGCTCCCCGGAGCCCGAGCGCACAGGGAGGGTGTTAAACACCAGCCCAGCTCCCAGGGCAGCGAAGCCCAGAGTTCTGTCCCCCATTTCGGGTGAGCGATGGCAGGCGCCCACCTTGCACCCACCCTCATCCCCATCTCCCTCTCCCAGGCCATCTACAAAATGGTCTCCTCCGTGATGAACATGCCCGAAGATGAATCGACTCCAGAGAAAAGAACGGAAAAAATCTTCCAACAGATGGATGCTAATAACGACGGTAAATGAGAGGAGATGGAGGGGATTAAGGGAAAGGTCTCACGACTAAATCCGGGGGTCTTAGAAGGAGCCGCACGCACGCTGATTAAATGGCTCGCGTCCACTGGGGTGGCCGGGGGGGAGCCCCAGCAGCCGGAGGGGCTCAGGGTGTCCCCGCACCCCGGGAAGGGAGCCCAGGGGTGCTCATCCCGGGCGGGCGGGTGTCTGTGGTGTGTGCCGGGAGGTCTCTGGTCCCGTCAGCGCAGCCGGGATGGGGTGGTGGCCGCCAGGCTGAGCTGTGTCCCCCCCCTGTCCTCCGCAGGCAAGCTCTCGCTGGAGGAGTTCATCAAAGGTGCCAAGAGTGACCCGTCCATCGTGCGCCTGCTGCAGTGTGACCCCAGCAGCACTGTGCAGCTCTGAGCCCCGCGGACCCCCGCAGCCCCCCCACAGCCCCACAGCACCCCTTGACCCTGCAGCCGGCCACTGCCCACCATCCCTTGCCCGGCCCCCGCGGTCCCCACCACCGTGTCCCCACAGCCCCTCGCGGAGAGAGAGCTGGAGGCTGGGGCAAGGGGGAGCCCAGGGGGGACAGTCCCCATTGCTGGGGGGCTCCTGCACTGGCTCTCGACTGGGGGAAGGATGGAGGCAGGGTCTGCCCTGAGCGAGGACGCTTCCCCTCAGCACCGGGGGCGCGGAGCAGGGGGACAACCCAGCCCAGCGAAGCCACTGCTGCATCTCCAGTGGGCACGGGGACCCGGCCCAGGGGACAAAGAGCCGGTGGCTCAGGGGCCTCCCAGCACC